CTAGGAGGGGTCGATCCGTGGGCAACAAAAATGTTATCTTCTTCCGACTCATCCCTGAGCCACAGAAGCGAGTCAGAATCCGACACCCAGGAGCTGGTACTCTTCTTGGGCTTATGAGCCAGCCTCTTCTTTAGCTTTACCTCAGCACCCGGGGAGCCCGAAGATTTCCTTTTCCTTCTCTTCTTTTCTCCTAATGGAAGGATCAATGGACAAGGACACGTCCTTATCCCCTTCTAAAGGCCTAAGTTTGGTTGTCTTAGGCAAATCTATAATAGGAAGAAGAGGGGTCAGTATGATGTGGGTTAAGAGCACGGTAATAGTTGTTTGAAGGAGAACTTTACCATGGGAACGAGCCTCCCATCGGCCCTTCAAAAGATTGCGACATGAGCGCTCGAAGTACCACATTTGTTTGCAGATGCCTTCGATCCACTCCTTGAGCCGGGGACCGTATTTGGAACCTGGGCAACAGCTACACAATCATAAATACGAATGATGAGAAAGTAAATGAAGAAACATTAACACTTAAGGAAAGGTAGCACTTATGAGATGCTTTCCACTTCTCGGGGAATGGCATGAACTCGGGAGGGATCAAGTCTTCAGTCTTCACCCGAATAAAGCACCCCGGCCAGCCTCGATCTCGGTCTTCGTCAATACTCGAAAAGGGGGCCTTGGTGGCCCGGCGAGTGAGCTTGATTAATTCCCCTTGGAAATTTCAGGGACCGTATAGATAGAGCAGGTGGTCGATGGTGAACTGACGAGACTCGGTATTATTCACAAAATAACGGAGGAGGATCACGATCCTCCAGAGAGATGGGTGGATTAGCCCAAGGCATACCTCGTATCTCTTGCAAAAATCCAAAACAACTAGGTCTACCGGGCCCAATGTAAAGTGCGTAAGTGTAAACACTTAAATACCCCTCCACGTGGGTAGTAATAGCCTCCTTAGGCTCGGGTAATACTACGTCCTTGCCTTCCCATTTACAGTCCACTCGGACCACGGGAAGGTCATCTTCGGTAATGAAGCATATATACCTCGATGCTCCTTTACCCCGGTCCTGTTTGGATAAGGGTTCCTCGACTTTGAAGTCGTCAGTGATTGAGCAACCCCCGGGTATAAATCTTTTCATATGAGGCTCGAAGGCAGGCTCGAGGGGAGATGTCCCGGAGGCAGCCACCTCGGGAGCGGCCACTTCAGAAACAGTCACCTCGGGATCAGCCACCTCAGCATTTGTGGCCGAGTATGAAGATGAAGAGGCTGCCTGTTGAGGAACTGATTTAGACGTTTTAGCCATTGCTATCTGAAAAAGTTTGAAAATTTAAAGAAAAAATACGAAGGTTTGAAGGAACAAGTTAGAGGGCTGAAGATTAGAATATGAAGATTTGAAGAAAATCTGGGTAAGAACCTAAGAACAATTATGAGAGTTTGAAGATCGAGGTTGAAGATATGAAGGTTTAAAAGAAGTTGGTGATAGCTAAAAAATTCGAAGGTGGAAGCTTGATCGGAAAGTGGAAAACGCATAGAGGATAGAAGCTTTTGTAGGTGAAGAACACGACGCTTTGAATTCGAAGACAACCGGTCGGTGGTTGACACGTGTCCGAAGTCAGAACGACACGACTGTTGGGACGTTCCGACTTCTTTATCGTTTCGGTCGTGACGTATGAAGGAAGGAACCGAGGTTCATCTATCGTTTCGGCAAATCTACTCTCTGAAAAACGAGGGGGACTATCTGTATACGAGTAAAATTGGGGCTAGTGAGCACCCCGACTTCTCGGTGGGGCAAACGAATTAAGGACATAACTATATGAAATTGGGATCGAAGCCAGGAACCTCTCGTACCAAGCCCAAACGATGTGCTTACCACTAGGGCCATCGAGACAACGCCCCCCGAATCCGGTTCAGGCTCCAAGACCTCAGAAGGCATAACCAAATGGTTGTACACGACTAATGAAGGGCCGTGATATCCGCACCCAACCGGATATCCCAGCGTGGATCTCGTCCTGTATCGACAGTGGATCAGTGATTGACGAAAAAGAAGATTTTTACCTTTTTTAGAATTGTAGTTAGGGTAAAACTCCCCTACTATATAAAGGGAAACTTTATTGTTCAATAGACACATTTTAACGCGCATATCAAGGCAATATATACTTATTTTCTCTGCTTCTAAAGTTATTCAAAGTTCTTACTTTGGCTCATAGTCCTTCATAGGTATTTGGCTTCGAATCGAGGGCATAACAATCTCTAAGCTCAGATCCGAGCTCGAACCTAACATCACAACTGGTTTGGTTATTTATTCTATTTTTAGTTCACTTATTTAACGTTATTAATTATTTGTATTAAATTAGTTCACATATCCTTAAAACCGCGTATAAAATCAATTGTTATCCATTTTTAAGGGTAAACACTAGGAATGAAAATGAATGGAGTTTGAAGAGAGGTTTTCACTTGATTGCAACCTCATAAGAATGAAACAAAAATAAGAAGAAAAATAATTTGAACGTTGGACTTGCAGTTTATCATTAAGAGTAGGATAAGTAGCAGAGACATTAGGTTTAGCTCTTTTTTCAAGCTTTGGAGAATTCGGCAGCTGCAAAGTAGGCTAGGTTAGATTGTTTGGCAGCATAATTACTAAATGTTTGCGATAATACAATCGCGTGAGATATTGTGTTAATGTGGTCCTCTTTCAAAATGATTAAGTCTTTTAGTTATCAAGTTTCCAAATCCTCTCAATTGTAAACATCAAGCCTTAAAAATGCAATCCAGATCTCGTAGCACTTCAGCTTAATTATGAACGCTAATGCAAAACACGGATAAATGTGGAAATTGTATATCGATATGAGAAAATGATGAATAGTACTCTATCATAATACATAGAAATAAATCTATTTTGAAATGAAAAAAAGAGGAAGATAATTTGTAAACACACTCCTGAAAAAAATAATTAATTTCGGAGCAAGGAAAGTACAAATCTATTTCGATAATGAAGTACGGAAGTCTAATGAGCTTGCCTTCAGTTTGAGTTTATATTCAACGTGGACCATCTATCTAGGGCTGAGATACCTCCAGGCTCCAGTAATATTTAATGCAGCCTTATAGTTGATATAGCTACGTGTACCTTATAAAATACACTGGATTCATTTTCTAAATTAGTATCTCTTTCAAAAGTTTTCTATTTTTTTTTTTACAACCTGAGATTACCAAACAAAAAGACAACAAAATAAAGCAATGGATTTTCAATCTTCTACAAGACGTATCATATTATTTTTCAATTTTGATGTGTACTCATAATTGTTGCAAAAAGGAGAAGGAGAAAGAAGGAGAATAAGACGATAGAGAAGGAGGAAGAAGGAAGGGAAAAAGGGCAAGGCGGGTGTCTATATTTACACTACTTGTATTAACAGGGACAAAAATTAAATACCAATCTTTAAAAAGAACACCCAATGAAAATTCTTGAAAAATGATGGATCAATCTTTTGAATTGGGAACGGTTTTGGATGAAAAGTTGTTAATGGACTGGACTAAGAAGTAGCCTAAATTGCCACACAACTTATTTTAAATTGTGAGTAGATGATTAGCATAGAGAAATACTTCTTTTTCTATGAGTTCTTGGAGTCTTTTTGGTCTTTCTTAAGGAGAAATTTTACTTTTACTATGTGAGTCACACAATCAACATTACTTATGCAGGGCTAATTTATTTCTTGATAAGTAGACTTATGTTCCTACTTATTATAAAAGTTAAACTAAAAAAAAGGCAACCTTTAAGTCTATTTTTTTTTCCTAATCAGATGCTTGGTTGGTGGATAATAAAAGAAAATTAAAAAGGGAAAAAGGAAAATTATGTTCCTACTTATTATAAAAGTTAAACTAAGAAAAGGCAACCTTTAAGTCTATTTTTTTCCCTAATCAGATGCTTGGTTGGTGGATAATAAAAGAAAATTAAAAAGGGAAAAAAATCTCCCGAAATCGGCAACCATGGGGAACTTTAACAAAACCGGCAAATATTCTTTCATTATATTATTAGGTCTACTATCTCATACATAAAAAAATAATTTAAATTGAAAATCTTGAATTTAGGATTTAAGTAAAAATTAAAGGCACGGGCCATCTATACATTCGTAAATTAATACACCATATAAATAAATTAGATTAAGTTTTCTATTAAAAAAACATGCACACTTAAAATTAGTAAATTGCATAAAGTCCAGGTTGAAGCTTACCTTCACCGTCAAAATTCACGTTGTCAGCAAATTGTAAATCCTGCATTTTCTTTGAGTACAAAGTATATATTTTCTTCTTCACTGTAGAATGGATCCTAAAATGAAATATTTTCATTTTTTTTTATTATGAAAGAAGAGACCTAATATATAATAAAATTATATCCATCGACTTTGTTATCATTCCCATGCTCGATGATTTTGGGAGATTTTTTCCCTTCTTAATTTTCTTTTATTATCCACCAATTAAGTATCTGATTAGGAAAAAAATAGATTTAAATGTTGCCTTTTTTAGTTTAAATTTATAATAAGTAAGTAGGAACATAATTCCACTTAAATAAACTAATCTCGCATAAAAAAGTGACTGATCAATCTTTTGAATTGGGAATGGTTTTGGATAAAAAGTTGTTAATGGACTGGACTAACAAGTAGCCTAAATTGCCACACAACTTATTTGAAATTGTGAGTAGATGATCAGCATGGAGAAATACTTCTTTTTCTCTAAGTTCTTGGTCTTACTTACTTAAGGAAGCGTCGTAAGATATGATTTGGAGAAGTGCACAAATAGCCGTATTTTAGGACCCTTATTTAAAATATAGTCAAAGTTTATAAAGCAATTAAAGTTTAACTGTCTCAAAATCATCAAAATATTCAAACCCCGGGAAACTAAAATAGAAAATCGTGAGTTTGAAGTTTCAAACTTCAGACATACGGTTCTCAAGTTGAGTCTTCAAACCCAAATGCTGAAGTTGGCATATTGCATGCATGTGCAGTTCGAATTTCACACATTTGGGTAACCATTATTTCCAAAATATTTTTAGCAAGCAACCTTTTACATAATTGTTGAAAGGATACTCTATCTACGTAAACAAACCATTATACTTTAGACCTTGATTCAAGGCTTCTTCATAACAGTGCCATCATTTCCAGCAAGAGCAATATACTTATCTTTCCTCGTTAAAGTAGTGCACTTGTAAGAAAGATTTTCAGCAATAACTTTTTGTATGTAGTTAGCGACTTCATGGCTTGATTTCCCAGACTTGCAAGTGAACTCATACGGCAACTTTTTCAAGAATGTAATTTCATAACTGGGACGTGGGTTCATGAGAAAGAAAAACGAGTCCATCCATTTCCATCCCCTAGCTGTTGTGCCATAAAACATACTCATCTTATTCACCATTGCCACGGGCACGAGCTCATCAGTTAACTCAGCAAATAATGACGAAAACCTAAGAAGAAATGGTTCACGACTTGTAGTCCCCTCTGGGCAAATTGTGAGATCACCCTCTTCTAATAGTTTCTTGATCACGAAAGCGTCAGAGGCACGATCTCGAGTGAGTCTGATTGTTTTAAGGGGTGCAATAAGCTCAGAAAATCGTGAAAGAGAGTATGTAACAGTTGGAATAGGGCGACCTAAAACTGCGGAGAGAAAAACAGGATCAAGAAGTGTCCTATGACAGCAAACGAATAGAACACCAGAATGGTCTTTGGATTTCTTAGGGGGTGGTGGGTTTCCTTTAATGGTGAGACGGGCGCCAAGGGCCCGAAATGCGTAGTAGTGAAGAGGGGTCGGGAGGAGTGAAGCACTAATAACTCGCAGGCAAGAAAGGAGGAAACCGAAAGGGATCCAAAGAATAATATAAAGAGCAGTTAGTGGTGTTGGCTTTTGGACAAGGCGGCCGTCGTGGAAAATAATAGGTTTAGGAAGCTTATCTAAAGTTACAGCCTTTACTTTTGGATTTGGTGGCACAGAGTAGCTCTCTTTACACAATGTCATAAAAGGAATATCAGTATGACGATCACCCAATCCAATCTCAGGTTGAGTTTCTCCGAACGTCGATTGGAGAATATCAGCCTTTTTCTTCCCAATAAGAACCCCTGGTGACTTAACAAAACCAGTTGCCCTACCTTTATATGTTTCAATCTCTGTCCCTAAAACTATGTCCACGCCTATATAGTCCTTTAAAAATGCTTCCACCATAATCCTAGGGGTGGCTGTCAAAACGCAACGTTTTCCACACGACGAAAAAACTCTCCAAGACTCAGGATGAAGATCCTCTGAATAGAACTTTGGCAGCACAGCACGTGCTGCCGATTCTATGTCGGAAACTTTCATCCCCACAAAAGTTGTAAAGATAATAACTTGGATTCCAGCTGACTCTGAGACTAAATAGTAAAGAATTCCGGCAAGAGGTAAGACTAAGAGAAGAAAGAGTAACCTTAAAACCCCAGAAACATCAAAAGCAACCAGGGCGAAATATGGGAAAGAGTTACAACTTCGGAGTAAAGTTCCATCCAAGTCTGCTACTACTGTATGTTTTTCTCTTCCTTCTGATGTGCACTTCTCAACTGTGGGAAATATTGTTATCCCCATTTTAGTTTGCAGCTTATCCAAAATGGAGATTTCCTTTTTCTTTTAGTGGTTGATGAGATGAGGTCGGATATTCGGAGCAGCAGCTTGAACCTACCTTTTTATTTTTGGCCAAGCTTGGCTATATGTAGATGGTAATCTGAGAACAATAAGAAGAAGAAAAGGCATGTAAGAGTTGGTGAAGATGGTCTCTAGAAGAATGTCCTGTATGGTTGACATTGAAGAGATTAAATGCTTCTCGATATGGGAAGTTAGGCCGAATAAACCCAACTATTTATTAATGCAGAAAAAGGTTTCACTCGAGGGATTAAATCCTCACAGATAATTTATATTCCATTTGTAATGGTGATTTGAATGGTGAATATCATTTAGCCATGTTCAACAACAACTTGTGGATCCAGGGAGAATAATGTGTACGTGAAGATAGAGAGGTTGTTTTCGATAGATACTCGGCTCACAAAATACGAGTAGAAAGAAGAATCCATGTAAAGAAAAGCAGTAACAACATCTAGAAAATAAGGACCCGTTTGGCAATACATTTTGCCAAATTTTTTTTTTTTTTTTTTGGCAAATACATGTTTGTTCTAGATTTTATCCATGTTTTGGCAAATTCCCAAAATCCAAAACCCAAGAGCTGGTTTTGGCCCAAAATATTACTATTACATTTTTAAAAACTTGCTTCAAACTTTTATAATTTATAAAAGAGCCCACCATTTATTATTTTGTAACAATGCTGTTTTATCTTCTAAAGTCATGTGATAGTGTATTATGTAATTCATTATAAAAATGATAATTTTGTACTATATTTATTTATGTTCAGGACTATAGTTTGTGATAATATAATGAATGTTATTGATATTCGTATTGTTGGGTATTTGTGATAATTTTTAGAACTTGTGGGTATAAGTCATATTTCATGTTTTTTCAAAAATAAAAAGTGAAATATGTTTTGAAAACTGATGTCCAAACACATTATCATCTTCAAAGCAAACTTCATCCAAATCAGATTTTTCAAAACAAATTTGAAAATTTATGGTATAACGTTAGCTATGATAATTGAAGTCTTTCACTCATGTTTAGATGCATAAATTTCTACATTTATACATAAATGTACTTCCATTATGTGCAGTAACACTAAGCCAGTGGTAGAATATTCACATATTTATAACGATGTAAAGATATGATGAAAAGAAACGATTGGTGGTGATTGAGATAGTAGTATTTGATAATCGGCACAATTGAAATGAAAAAAACAGTTGAATTAGTTACCCTCATCATCAATGCATTTTCCGGAGATTCTTCTGAAGCTAAGTGTAGGTTAGATAAGCCTACGAAAAGAGATCTACAGCGTAACTGTGCGCTCCTACTCCAATTCATTAATCATTTAAACCTATTATAAGGTTATATTTCAACAATGAGTGTATATATTTACGTATTATACCAAAAATATTTCTCTTAATTGATAGGAACTAAGGGTCCACCAAACTTATATAGAGAATCGGATTCTCTATTAGGTACTACAGAACACACTCACACAACTGTAAGTACATAACACAATAGAGTTTTACGTGAAAAACTCTCAACTCACGGTATTAAAAATCATGATCTACCGTTGTAGGATTTCAACTTCACTACTGAGCAAACTTCAGATTACAAATTATTGTAACCTAGGAATTAACCTCTTACAACAACAACAACAACAACTCAATATAATTTCACTAGTGGGGTCTGGGGAGGGTAGTGTGTACGCAGACCTTACCCCTACCCTAGGGTAGAGAGGCTGTTTTCGATAGACCCTCTGCTCCCTCCCTCCAAGAACTCCCACCTTGCTCTTGGGGTGACTCGAACTCACAACCTCGGCTCTTAGGGTACGCAAACCTTACCCTAGGAATTAACCTCTTAATCCCTCACTAACTTGTAATAACTCTATTACAAGCCCTTTTGTAATAACTCTATTACAAAGTTTACAACTCGACTACCTCTAGCCAAGACACAAACACATGGTTTATGAATTTACAAAGATTTTCTACACAATATTTTTAACTAAACTAAGTAGGAATTACAAGTAAATCACTTTGACAAATATTTTGGTAATGTGATGACTAAGGACATGTGATGATTAAACACCACATTAAACACCTCTAAGTGTGTGTTGTGAACGTACACCTGTGCCCATAAGACGAGGTGCGTGAAACACATTTGCCAAGAATGAGTAAAGTGAACAACTATAATGCAAAGAAACAAATTACCCCCTCGGGCTCAAATTATCTTCCATGATTTCTAAAAATAGTTGTTTCAAATTATTTATCATTTTAGAAGTTCAATAAAAAATTAATTATATTTTTCTCATTTTATCCGTAGTAGTAGTTATTCTTGAAGATGGAGATAACACATAAATAAAGTAAGGAAAAAGATCAAATATACCTCACTACTTCGGATATTGTCTACATTTAACATCAGTTATACTATCCAGCCAAATTTACCCCTACCGTTATACTATCCGGACAAATTTACTACCATCAGCAAACTCTTAAAAATTACCTCCCAGTCCGTCATGTGACCCAAAATCTCCCAAATTATTTTAGTTAAGTCACTTATTCTTCTTCTTAATCCACAATTTTTGAAATAATTGGCATTTACCTGCTTTCTTAATTCAAAAGAATAATACAACGGTTAGTAAATTGAAGAATCTAAATTACGTAGCTTGTCTAAATTTCAAAAGTATTTACAACGTCTCAACTTTAATGAATCTGTTGCACCAAATGTATGGAGACTTTGCATGTATTAGTGATAGAAGTTGAAAGTCCTTGGAGACTTTATATTATCGAATTCAACTTTGATTTAATCAAATGTCTGCGCATTGTGCTCTCTTAAGTTAGTCGATCGAACTCTATACTAACCAGACAATAACAAAATATATTTGAATATGCATGTACATACATGATGATGAGCTGCATATAATACACAATAAATAGACCCACTGAATTTTACGGTGTGTATATGATTGAAAAATAAATAAAATTTTAAACCAATTCCACATAGATTATCACAAGAAGAAAAGTGGGTGCATTGGTAATTAAAAATATCCATGAATAATTTGTATAGTCTAGTATCTTTAGCATTCACATTAGTAGTAATTTTTGAAAATAGTGGAGCAAGAAGAACAACAATTAATTTAAATAAAAGGAAGTTGGAAAATTTTGGATTACTTAACAGATTAAGGGGTAATTTTAAAAGTTTACAGATGATAAAGATAAATTTGGCCGGATAATATAACGACGGGGGTAAATTTGGCCGGATGTTATATCGAAGATTAAATATAGACAATATCGAAAAATAGATAGATATATTTTACTCTTTTTCCTAAAGTAAATATTCAACGAAGAGACACAATATAAATCATCGCTAAGTTGGTGATGGACAAACACCCCAGAAAACCTCCAAATAATATTGGTTGACAGTTTTCGTTTTTCCTTTTTCTTGTTTATTTTAAAGGGCTGTTGTTTGTTTTCGGCCCCCAATGGTTCAATTCTGTTGCAAAATAATTTGATTAAATAATTTTAGCCACGACAAATTTAGGAAGAGAAAGCTTTGACGAAGTGTTTGTGCTTCTTTTCCAGTCAGGTGCTCGCCGGAGATGAGAGGGAAATAAATTGAAATTGTAGGATTTCTTAAGGAAATTTTAGGAAATATATTGAAATTTTAGGAAATTGTAATACGAAATTCTAGGAAATGAAAAGGTAATAAGGATAAAAGTAAGACTGTCGCGCGCTCAAAATTAACTTTGAGATACAGTAGTTTGACCTGTCAGACACTTTTGTCGAATTGAAACTTCTATCCTACGCATTAAATTGGAATGTTTAACTTAGAAATAGTGCTAAGTTTGAGGGACTATCTAGGAATTTAGCATTTTTGTTTTCAAGCTTTGGAAAATTCGGCAGTGGTAAATTAGGATGGCTTTGTAGCGATCCGATCGGTCGTTTTGAAAGTATTAGTCCCGATCCCCTATTTATTACTCCCTTTACTTCATTTAGTGGTTATGTGACTTGCAGGGGCGCTTAGTGTCGGGTTCGGATGAGTTTCGGAGTGAGATGGGACACATAGTCCCTAAAATGGAAGTTTAAGTTGAAAAGGTTGACTAGATATTGACTTATGTGTAGACGACTCCGGAATAGAGTTTTGATGGTTTCGTTAGCTCCGTTGGGTGATTTTGGACTTAGGAGCGCATGCGGATTGTGAATTGGAGGTCCGTAGTTGAATTGGCTTGAAATGACGAAAGTTGGAAATTTAGAAGTTTGACCGAGAGTAGATTTTGTGGATACGGGGCTCGGATTGGGGTTCCGGGAGTTGGAGTAGGTCCATGGTGTCATTTGTGTGTAAATTTTGGGGTCAATCGGACGTGATTTGATAGGTTCCGGTATCGAATGTGGAAGTTAGAAGTTCAAAAGCTCATTAGGCTTGAATCGAGACGCAATACGAATTTTTAGCGTTGTTTGATGTGGTTTTTTGCTTAGAGTAGGTCCGTTATGTGTTTTGCAACTAGTTGATATACTCGGACGGGGTCCCGGGGGCCCCAAGTGTGATTCAGATCGATATCGGATCAATTGTTAGACTTGTGCAAATGCTGAAGCTCCTAGCTTCTGGTGTAATCGCACCTGCGGAGGTTATGGCCGCAGGTGGAGACTAGCACATGCGCTTGAGGGAACACAGAAGCGGTGAAGGCAGCCTAGGCAAGGGCTCACAGATGCAGACAAAGTCCCGTAGAAGCGGCTTCGCTTTTGTGGCGAGGATATGCGCAGCAATGACGAAGGCCACAGGTGTGAAACATTTGTCGTAGGCGCGGCCCTATGCTCGCATAAGCGGAGGCAGTGGAGCCTTGGGCAATCCGCAGAAGCGAAAGATATTTCACACCCGAGAGACCATAGGTACGACTAAATGAGTCGCATGTGGGAAAGTGCTGGGCAGAATATTAAGTTCGAGGGTTTCATGATTTCATTCATTTTGGACATTTCAAGCTCGGGATTAGGCGATTTTTGAGAGGGATTTCGAAGGGATTCTTGTGGTAAGTCGCTTGTGGTTAAATTTACTCAATAATTATGTTTCCCCATTGAATTTTCACCAAGATTGTGTGGTTTTGAGGTGTAGTTTTAGAGTTTGAGGCTAGGGTTGTGGAGAGTTTAAATTGGAAATTTGAGTGAAACTGCTATCTTTGAAATATCATTGTTTCAGTTGTTAAGTTTTGGT